TAATTAAACAACAGAGAAAAAATGAAAGCTTGTTACGGGGATTGATAGTTTGAAGTTTTGAAGCGAGTAATCTGAGAAGGATTAACCTCGAAACACCAAGAGGACGAAACCTTAAACTATGAAGCACCGAAGATCAAGCGTTCGCGACGATGAATTAATTCTGAGTTCGCAAGGGACTTCACAGGCTTGGATTATTAGAAGCTGGGTTCAAAAGTTTCGTCTAGCTTTAATACCACCACAAGCTTCGTTAATTTAGGTATATAGACTCTCGGGCATCCTTGCAATTTCTTTGTGTAAAATTCAAAGAATTTGAAACACGAGAACTGGATACACATGCCATTCAAATTCCCCTATTTATAGTAAATTAAGTAGCATTTAAGATGAATATTTTATAGAATTAAGCTTTAAAAAAAAAGAGAGAGAAAATTTATATCATAATATTTACCCTCTCCTCCGAAAAAGGAAAATCCTATTACAAAGCTTTGTAAATCGTCGAACAACAGCATTTCAGCTGACGAAGTAATTAAGTATCATACTCCCGAGTGATTACCCTTGCAATTTAATTTCCCAACAGTTCTCGTCCTCTTTTGAAACCCGATACCTCTTGTTTCGAGGATATCCATTTAAATTACAAATTATGTCTCTAGTCGACATTGCCTCGACAAGGAAGTTTCTTCTCGGTTGTTAAGCCATTAAAGACCAAGCAGAATAATAAAGACACCAAATTATATTTTAAGAATACTTATTTCAACAAAACATTTCATATCGTATTTCTTTCTGATAAAGCATCCACGTGTTATGTTCTACTTTCCATTCTAAATTCTAATTTCTTTACTTGGATATCGCTTTTCAAATACAAGCTGGATCGTTTACTTGGTACAACGTATCGTGTAGTTTCGTATGTTACAGTAACACCTGTTGAATCGGACTAGCTTATATATCCATCCCAACTATCCGATGCTGTAACAAATCGCAAATGGAAGAAGGTTAAAGCTCTTTCCTAATTTATGAGGTTTATGCTAAAGTTTCGGGCACGAGGCGGGACTACTGGCCGCTTTTCACGTGAGATTCGTTTACGATGCCGCAATTGAGCTGTGAAATTACCGACTGGTTTGTTGCAAGCCGCTTATTCCCAATGCAAAATTCACTGTATCCCGTTACGTTCGTGATAACAGCCCACGAATTGTGAAATTCAGCTTTATCGCTGAAACCTGCCCCCTTTGTGCCGGATTAATTAATTAATCCGATCAATAGCACTATGAAAATCAGTGAAACGAAAATATTGTCGATGTGCCAAACGATAGTTTATTAATATGGCAATTCTTGTCGCATAAAACTGTTCTAATAAAACTGTTTCTCGAGAGCTTCATCGAAATCCTCGAGAAGAGGTTGGGATCTCCTTGTTAAACCTCGTACGAGACTCATCCACTCCAATTATTTCATGTACCAAAGCATCTCAAAAACATTCAAAATAATTAGTAAAAAAAAAAGGAGGAACGGATTTTTGAGTTCAAGTACTGTTTGATTCTCACGAGAGATACTTAACGATTTTTCGTTTGGCTACGCAACCGGCATTCTCGAGAATCTAAGAGCAACGTAACGAAGAAATTGGTTTCGTTAGAAGTCTGTACCGATACACGGTGAGTAATTAGTTTCATTGAAAGTCGGAGGACGCCACGCGAAAGCTGCTTGCAATTCTGTGGAAATGCTCAAATTATTTTCCACGGCTTTTACATGCAAACCTGTACCGATTTTAAAATCCGGGTCGTGGAGTCCTCGAGGATTCCGACAAGGAATTTATTCTAATGTTTTCAGGAACTGATTGAAAAATTGGAATAAATTTTCAACCGAACGAAAGATATTCATTCATCCGTGTCAATCTGGTAATTTTATTTCTAAACGAACGAGAGTTTATTAATTTATCGTTTGTTCGAGGTCGTTTAGCCGAGCCAGTCCCCCCATTAGCATAAACTGATTAATCGATCCGAAATAATCGACGTAATAACGAAACAATTTGTATCGCGGCCCGTAAATCAGCTTCATTACCATATTAATTCAAAATGGGCATCGAAAGAGGTCGATCGATGAGAATCGAGATTGTGAAGCATCAAATCGAACAGTCCTTATTATCCTATTGGCTGACACCATGAATTTTGGATAACCTTAATTAATTAATTAATTTCAACTGCAAAGCCTTCGCGAATCCGCGGCTATGCTTATTTCATTGTTGCATTATTTCCAGCTAGAAAATTTAATTAATATTGAATGAACGAAATTTCGCTAATTTTTGTCATTAAGATTTTTAATTTGTAATATTAAATTTAAAATTTTCTCTTAAAGTATCTCTCCCGGATCATTTTAGTTAAGTTTTAATGAATCACTTTGTAAAGACTTTGATCGTTCCTAGATTATGTTATCTGTTCAATGCCTTGTAATTTCATTTAACGGACAACGATTAATCATCGTCGCTCGATGATGGGAACACAACGTTCAACTACTGATCGATAGCTGTAATTATAATACACCTACTCATACCCATGGGATGAAATTTACCCTTCCATTAAAAAATATTCATCGAACGGTAATTAAAATTGAGTGTTTATAACCGAAAATGGTATTTCTGTGTTCAATGTTGATCGATCAAAGTTTCATGTAACGTAAACGGGTTTCCGAAGTAGAACCGCATTTCTCGACTTTGCGTGACAGTTCAGGCAATGTTCTGATAGGCGAGCATCGATGCAGAAGGAAGTGGTCGTTAGCAACGAATTAGAAACTTCGAATAGCTCTACTTAATGGCTTTCTCTCGTTAACAGAGGTAGTTGCTACAACGCAACTTCGCACAATGTTGAAACGTTGCATTAAACTATCATGCAACCAAACAACAATGATCGAAATGGAAATGTGGAGTTCGTAATATTGACATTCTACCCGGAGAATAAACCAAACACAATAGTATATTTACCAAATGCAATTTGTGTATAAATGATAATTCAATGATAAACAATCATACCGTGATTGTATGCAAGTATCTGCTTGAGTATCCCCCTTATTAAAACATGCGATTTTTATGCGTCTAACGATGGTGTTAAGGAGCTATTATTTCATTGCCCATTTTGTGCTCCACGATTTCTCTATATAGAGAGGCGCGACACGGAATGACGACTTTTGTTTAACGTAGCGTGAAACTAATCGAGAACGCTTTAATGGGACAGAATGAAAGAAGCTGGAAGTAATTCGCAGCTGCTTTGCGGGTAAAGTGATTCGCCAGACAAAAAGAATGCATTCGACAGAAGGTATTCACGCGCAAATGAAATTATGGTTCGTTTAAAACGTTCACGATTCACGTGCGAATGCATACCGCAGGTAGAAAAATAGTGACAACGATTTTGTAACGTCGTGTTTTCAGGAAAAAGTTAAACAAGCACGTAAAATATAAGATCACGTTCCGAATCTTGGTGAGAAAACAAACGGAGCGTAAAATTGTAATCCGGTCTTTCCGAAAATCTCAGGCGGAACGGAAAAAAGTTATCTGGAATTTCGTCAGGCGATTTGGAACCACAACCGCGTTCTCGTTTCCTACTACTTCGAAATTGGATTTAGTCGAAGGGGCAAGTTCGAAGAATAACTTTATCATCCACCTATAACGAGTGTTCGAACCTTTTGCTTAAATCCTTAGTGGAACTCTAGGTTTTAGCGGTAAAGAATTGAAATCGTTCAAATGGTGGATTAATTTGACGTCTTAATATCATTCTTTGTTGTTCTATTATCAATAATTATGATTATTATAAATAAAATAATCATTACGTTGGATGGTTTCGTCTAAACTTAAGAAAAACTTTGCATTGCAATAATTCCGATTTGCATAAATATTTATAAACAAATTTGACACTGTTAGAAGCGTGAATCCTTCCTCTTTAATATGCATTTGATTGTATGTAAATCGGACTTTCCATCTCTGAGATATGACAGGTTGAAGAGAACCCTAATTTTTCTTCCCGCTCGCACTTTGGTCAATGAATTACCTAGACTCCATTCGCGTGCTGTGGTCAGTGATGCTGAGTCAGCGTATTTTTACTATTACTATTTACTACGTTACGCACTTCCTGGAAGAAATGTAGGTCACTGGGGCGCCCATTCACAACTCCGTGCGTCTTGAACGAGCCTTACGCGTATTCTTTAAACCCCTGTATCTCGGGAACCAGTTGAAATATTCAATCACAACAAAATGCATTTTCAAGAGCATGCTTTCTACTATTATTAACTTTACTAATCAATACTCTTCTGTGTTTATGCTTAGAGAATATTGCATTTAAAATTAATGTTACATTGATATGCACTAGGAAAATGTAGGTGCATAGATAGTAGATATGTTATGTAAGCTTTTCCTAGAAAAAAATAGGCCACCAGATATGAGGACATATACATAATTTCTTATATCTAAAACACACCTTACCACCATAATTTCAACTCCCGTATCTCGGAAGCGAGTCGAGATATCGAAGTGGGGTAAAATGCATATTTGAAAGCATATTTCTTTATTATTTTTAGAGATATCTAAAAAGACTTCTACTAGGAGAATATCTTATAAGAATATCTTTTTTCTGATAAGCCTCTACTTTTGTCTTTGTAGGTTAATGGTACATTGATATAAACTGAATATACAATAATAGGTATATTAAGTTAATGCATCAGTACTTTAATTCCAATAACACACAGGAGAGTAATTCTGGATCCATAAATTAAATGCACATCGACATATAATTCTCATTACCCTTTATTGTAATAATAATTCATTGAACGATAAAATGAAAGCTGAAATTGTTCCTTTCATCGTGCTTAAAAAATTAATGAAGAAGAGGAAATGACCTCTTTGACACGGAAAATTAAACGCTAACTAAATTGTGAATATTATGAAACTGGAATTGTCTGTACTTTGTATATGGATAAAATTTTCAAATTTCGAGATTCTGTCTGTAAAATCTTGTATTATTGCTTTTCAGGTTCAATAAGCAACATAGACGGCGCCGAGTATCATTGCAACAAAACTGCAGTGCGAAAAGTTATCAGCGGAGTGGTTGGAGCGGCAAGTTCGGTCACATCTATCCAAGTGGCAAACCTCCTTCGACTTTTCCGAATACCTCAGGTACGTGCCCCGAATCGCAAAGACAGTTAGGTGTGTACTTAAATTAGCCTCTTTATTAACCTGACAAGCTTACAAATTGCACGTCCGTACATCTCTGTATAAACTTTCATTTATACCCAACCGTATATTCTCCATATCGTCAAAGTAGCTTCTCTCTATTACGATTATTAACACACCGAAAAAAGTACGGGTTACCTTTGACCAGCGTCGCAAATTTAATATAATAATTAAAGAAAGTTCTTAATTAAAAGTTTAAATGAAGAAGAAATGACACTCTCTAAGCTAAAGAATAAAAAAAGCTGACGTGCATCTTTTTTAAAAGAATGAAAATACTAAGTTGCAACGAACTGTGAGCACATCTGAAACTCCACAAAAGCCGCGACCTAAAATCATTCTAGCATGAAATCATCCGCCTTAGTCGGCGATATATCAAACCGACCTGATGGAATTTTTAATTTTTCACGGAAATCCGAATTTGCTTCTTCAAGCGTATTCAAAGTCCTGTAAGACGATTATACGAACTGTTGCATTTTGTTTTCACTTTCCAAACATCAAATTATACATCATTTACCATTTCAATTTCTCCGATTTTACGGAAATGTCGGAAATCAACGCCAGTTCGATTGGATTCGAACAGTTTCAATCAAATTCCTCGCGTTTCTCGTTAATTTCGAACCTTTTTCTTCGCTCGGAGCAACGATCTGCGAATTTTCGTAATTCTACATCAAAGAACGCGTCTTGTCGTTTGAAAGCAACGAACGACGGAGAATCGCGAACGGGGCAACAATGAGAAAGCACACGGAGAATGTTCTAAGATGCGTCCTTATGCAGTCGCGAGTATTCGCTTCACAAAGTGGACCGGTGTTCTTTGATGCAACCAGCAATCGCGAATATATATCCGCTCTAATTCACCTGTACCTACTTCGTACAAAAATGAAACGCGTAGAATAAAACAACCGTGAGGAATGTACTGTTCATTGTTACGCGTCTGTGATTTTAGTAGAACGAAGAAAAGTTAGATTCAAATTGGGAAAATTGGAATGTTTATAAAAAATGCTCCAAAATTTGGAACGATGGTGTAGGATGTACGGGTTTGAGTTACACATCCTCTGGTTGTTGGATTGGAGAACGAAAAAGAAGAGAAAAGGTATGGCTAAACAAAAGAAGGTATCGTTTGCCAATGGAACAGAGCAAGCAAAGTTATAAAAAGCTGCCGGTCGGAAGTTCCGTTTTCATCAGAAGAAAAATTATGGGAAACGATAGGAATACTCTTTTCTTCTCTTTGTTGTCTTTTTTTTTATTCATATGTAACTTCTGTTCTGTGGCTTTATTCGCAATCTTTTATATTTATTCGTTTATGCAATATTAAGGATTTGCACGATTTTATTCCACGATATTACAGATGTAATATATCACCGGGGCTTTATTCGCATGAAGTAGTTTGAAAATGAGCTTTCATTGAACGCTTAGAAGATAGTATCGATACGAATTACCCCAGTGGTTTACTGGAGAAATTTCAAAGCAATCTAGAAACGTTTCCGGTGCAACGAAACTGCGCCACATTTGCATCAAGCTTAATTGCACGGTATATTAAAGTCCTCTTCTTCCGTGAAAGATACCAACTGCAATTTAACGACGGATATTATATGCATTACCGAGAATCCAGTCATTCTTTCATTTAAATTTGATCCTGTCATTCATCTAATGCAGTTTCTAAACTCACTCTACATAAAGGTTCGTATAAATTTTGAAATTTTTAGATGTTTTCATATTTCAAATTGAAACTGCAATTACGATTGAAGGAAAGGGTGAAATGGGACACTTAACACGTGTAAATGTTCTTGAAAATGCAAGATAGAGAGTGAATTTACACTCGTTGCTTTCAGGAAATAGGTTCGATGTTTCAAACATGTTAACGACCTCGTTCACTTTTCCCGGTTGTACATTTTCCTCGGCTGACACTTATAAAAGCCTCTTCCAACCCCATAAATTTCACAGTCGATGTTCGACTTGCGAGAAGGTATCGATTCATTGGAACCTCGATATCCTGGTAACCCGATAAACTCATGTGGGATATATTTCACCATGAATCATACTTTTAAAAATTTTATGCAATGTTAATGTTTTAGCATGAAACATTTGGAGAACAGCGATTTACTTCTAAATGATTTATTAATAGAAAAGACCTAAATATAGATGATTTTTCTCTATTTCTTGATACAGGTGAATAAATTTTTTATGTAATTTTGCGAATAAGGAGATACATCTGTCAGCTTCAGTCTCGTTTGATTTTTATATTCCAATAACGTCAAACTGTAACGAACGTATTGGCTTCCAGCCAGAAGAATATTCAATACCGTGGCTGAACAATCGTGCTGAGTAGTCAAACATTGTTTGCAGTATCGAAGATCTGACAGGGCATTTTGCAAAAAATTCTAATCAAAAGTATTTGGAAACGAAATACTATTGCCAAATTAATAAGTTGAAGGGAAACTGCAGATGGTACCATGTATCATTTGACAATATTTTTATACGAATAGCAGAGTTGCGAAAAAAGAAAAAGGCACGATGTCCACAGAGTCGAGAAAATCTATACAAAATGGTATGGAAATTCAGCCGAAGCAAGAACCAGCTTCGTGTCATCAATCACCAGACGGTAAGGTGGTAGCAGTGGATTCAAATTACGAACCATCGAGCTTCACAATCCTATATTACTCTTCATCATCTGTACGCGACTTCAAATTTCACACACGGCTCATATTAATCAATCCGACGTGACTTTTGCTTTATGTGCCCTACAGGACGAGTTTTATTTTATACTTTGTGCTCATAGAAACGCGAACTTTTTCGTGGAACCATGGAATGGATTTTCGTGCACCGCAAAAAAGGTAATAAATTTTGAAATTAGGAGTATCGTAGTTGAAAAAATAAAAATCTCCCAATTTATCCGAAGCTCGAAAGAAAAATAGTTTCATCTATGCTCAGACACCGAGAGTGGCAATCGATCTCCCTATTAGTTCAATTAATGGACGTTTCACTGAACAAAGAATCCTTTATCACCGTTCATTAGTTTCGATACTGTAACCGAACTTCTGTGTTCAATTGATCTGACAATTCGATTTTTCTATCTAATACCGTAGATATTTCAGGACATTTTTCTGGTTGCTTCCTTTCGGTGCGTACGAAGCAGCTTGATTTTCCGGCTCGTTGTACGTAATGTTGAAATATTACTATGCTAATGACATCGATCGTTCGTCGCGAAAAGATATACGTACATGTATTGGCAAACGATCGAACCTTTACGTATGCACAATTACATCTTATCTTCCAAGCGTTTCGCTGCACTGGCTGCTTTTCGCGTAAAACAAAAGCAATAGTACGATAAAAACGACTGCTATCCACGGTTCGATTGTCTTTCCTTTCTTTCCTTCTTCGATTGTAACTCGTCCGTTTTCCGCTCCCCTGTTCACGTTCGTTTAATTCTGATATTGATTTTGTCGCGCGAAACAGCTGTACGACCGCGTTTTCCAACATATTGTTTTATTACATTCGTTCATTGAGAGCAAGGGTGTAATTTAAAGTGGTTGCAGCCCTAAAAAAATGTGACTCCCCTCACAATTCTAAGATTCTTTATATATTTAATTGGATAAACAAGATCTTGGAAGGGATCTAACGAAATGGGTTAATTTGTAAATGAAAATATTCTGCTGGTACAATTTAGAAAATTCAAAATTATTCAAAGTTGATTTCTGAAATTTTTAATTTTTTCGTATTTAACTTCTTATTAATTTATTATTATAATCAGACCCAGCTTCTAAAAAACTATCTAGAACGAAAGAAAAATTCTTTTATACATTCTTTCAGCGGAATTCAACGCGATGAACGATAAAAAGTTTTCGAATAAATAAAGAGCTGGAAGCATTCGTGGTAGTGAATCGAAAGTTTGAAGAGTGGTAGTAGTCCCAGTGCTTGTACTTCGAGACAGAATGCTCAACAAAATCGGCTCGCGAAGCCTCGAAAGCGCGAACTTTTAATAGGACCCAGAGCGTATTTGCAAAAATGGGAGCTGGATCAGGCAGAATGTAAATTCGAAAGCTGGGCAGATTTCATTTCAGCCCGTAATTCCTAACACCGCTTCGTAAAAAGGCGCGTGTTCGCGAAACAAAGGGGTGAAAAACTCGCGACTTGAAGAAAACTCTTTTCAGGATGGAACTTTTCAAATGGAGAGCTGAACTTTATTCACATTCTGCAGTATACTTATAGCGAACATAAATCAACAATCCTATGAAAGTTGCTTTTTAACATTATCGTATTGTTACGTTTTTCTACCCCTTTCGATAGAATTATAAAGATTGACTAAAATTAATATTATTTAATTATATTTCTGGTTAAAGAAAAGCAACGAGAATAGTGGAAGCTACAAAATAATGACTTTGCGTAAAAAAATCTGAAATGCTTAAAATTTTTGAAACGGCTTTTTCCACGTTATATGTAAGCCAGCTTCAAAGGTGATCCAAACTTCAACCTTTGATGGATCTAAGTTTGTTATTAAACTAACATATTTGACCTGCTGTCAGGGCTGAACTTTCTAACAAACTTGGCCTACGACATGCACATACGGGAACGCAAATATAACCACCTTTGTAACCAGATTACATTGCCAGCGACCGCTTTGAAATACTTTCTCAATTATTTCATACTGATTTCAAAGGAAAATTACTAATGTCAAATACCAAAATATCAAATTGATTGTCACGGAATTGAAGTTTTATAATTTAAAATGTTGAGTTGCATAAAATGAACAAATAGTAAATTGGATTATATTTATCACTCACCAACGCAGTTGAGCTCGTCACTTGAACAGGACAGCGTGACAATTTGGCCGGAGCAGATATCGGTAAATTATTGGTACATCGTTGACACGTATCCCGAGACTGCAGAAAGGGACCATCTGCGAAAGACATGGTAATAAGTCACGTCAGTCAAAAGTTTGGCTGTTAACCGACCGATCGGCCGATTACTCGCAGGGAACAGGTTTCAATGACATCCACCCTAGGCAGAGATTTGTCTCATTAACTTGGAAATTCGAAAAAGGACAATTTCTCAACCATTATATTATCGATATGATATAATAGGAGACACTTAGAGCCAGATGGATGCAAATGAAATCTTTTTTGATATTAAAAATGTTATAAATAACAACTTTATCGACTTTAAAACGAGAATAATAAAAAATCATTGATTTCTTACGAAATACTGATCGCGAGGATAAATAAACTGAAGGGGATTTGAATTTCATTCTTCCTCGTAAATTTTTACTACCTTTCCCATTTAATTCTATCTTTCTCATAATAGTGCATTATTAAGAAAAAAAACTGACGAAAATTGGGAAGAAGAGGACCATAATATTACAGCAGAGAGAAATTTACGAGTAAATGAACGCCAACTCCATTATAAGAAAAATTTAATAAAGACCACCGTGGGATATAAAACAGCAAAGCCGAAATTTTGTTGAATTTCTCACAGAAAAATGTATTTATTCATCAATTAATTAATGTGACGAATATCAATACAATTCTATTAAGTTTCAAATTATTATTTATTTAAATTAACTGCGTAAAATTGGTTTCATGTTCAAACGAAATTGGTTACCAACAAAATTAGCAATTAACATCCTTGTTAATTGATACTCACAAAGTGAAATTTATGCAAACATTTTTTATTTATATTTGCTGTTTTCCAACCAAGAAGAGTTTCATAATGAAACGTTGATGAAAAGAATTGTTTTCCGCTACTACTAATTATTATTTAACGTTCCTTCTATTTATTTTTAATTATTCGCTTGAATTGAATTTTCGATCAACAAGTTCGGCATTAACCCATTTTCTCGAAAATGTTGGTAAATTTTATTAGGAAATAATTAAAAATCTAAAATCCTAAATTTCCAAAATTCTTGATTCGAGACACCTGTATCAAAGGACATGATATTCGACCTGCTAAAATCACGTTTTTAAGAATCGTATCCCAAGAAACTTGAAAGAGTTTGTTTTTAGATATGAGAAGGATTCGAATACGAGCGTCTGCTTTCGTTTATTTCGCTTTTATCGAGCTCGGTGCAAGCGGGCCTGCAATTTCGCGCGGTTTGGGCGCAGCCGGTCCGTTTCAATTAACGATAACGTCGTTTAACCGATGCACAAAGAGATTTGCAATTTCACAGCAGCCTCCAGATGAGACTACCGGTAAAAATGCAAACATCCTGACCTAAGAAGGCGTTCGTGATTATTCGAATAAGTCAGAATTCAAAATGAATGACGTTGATACACAGAAACAATGAATCATTTTGAAAAAATTGACACGTCTCAAAGGAATACCACGTCTGAGAAAGCTTGATAAATATGTCCGCGTCATCGTACACGAATTTACCAGATGGTAAAACGAAAGGAATGGGTAAAATAACGTGCAGTGTGCTGTAGAGAAGCCGAAGCTGCTCTTACCGTATCGCGAGATAACGGGGACTCGTTTCTCGCTACATAAACTCATCTTCGAAGAGCACAGCCCGTCGAACGATCACAAATATACACTATCGAACGAAAATCCTTCGTCTTCTGCGAAGAAGACCAATCGGAAGCTCGCTCGAACGAGCTTCTTCGTTACTGATCGCGAAAAATGTCGCGTGACCATCAGAAACTGTTCAACCGAGATAAATCGTCATTTTACAGAGATGGATTTATAAATGAAGAATCGTAGATCATTGAAATTTGAGGATCATTCATTGGAAAAAATGGACGATATTCGTATCATTTTATAAAGAAAACACCCGATTGATTCACAGTAACATCGTATACTATATTATAATCAAAACTTTTGTTTAGACGCGTTGATTGAAAATTCTTAATTACTTGGTATCTCCTAATTTTCCAACGGAAAATCCTCATTTGCTTTCACAGCATCGCTTCGAAAATTGCTGCAAAGCAAACGGGCTGAAAATTGTTCAAGTCAGCAGTTCGATAATTTCATTGAGTTACGATGCGTTGTTTTACTTGAAGATTAAATTTCTACAGCGTTATACCGCTCGTAATGGTAACGACGCGTTAGCATTGTTGCGAGAGGAAAAGCGCTGACAAACGAGGGGAGAAAATTCACGCGAAGCTAATGCAAGTTTCCAAAATATTTCACACCTCGAGAAACTTTACAGAACTCCTTGCTACATTAATCTATGACGCGAAGAAGTACCTGTGTAATAATTTAACACATTACATGTCCATTAAAATCTTTTGTAAAATTTACCCCTTATTCGTTAAAGAACTGTGTCTAATTTATTCTAATGAATAATTCTTTTCGACTTACTCAGAACGATGCAGTGGAAAATTCCTTTCTGCTCTGCTTTCAGGTCTCTTTCTTCTCAACGAGCCCGGAGCTTTCCAACAAGCAACGTTTCGAATATTTCACACGCACCATACCGAGCGACCATTACCAAGTAAAAGCAATGGTAGACATCGTGTTAATAATGGGCTGGAGCTACGTGTCCATCATATACGAAGAAAGCAATTACGGTATAAAGGTGAGTCACGTGTGTTTTGTTTCAAATTTACTCATTAATTAGCAACCTAACGCTACACGTATATCACTCGCTGTTCGCTTTATCTTAAAAAGATTGATTTATTAATATCTGACAACAATTTCGGATAAATTTAACGTGACATAGTACGAACGTTCGCGGAGCGTACACCACCGCACGAGCTTCTCGTAAATCTAATATCGAACTGAGCCAGATGTCTTCCTTTGAAAACAAAGGACACAGACCGGATAAATTCTGTTATTGTAAACATGAAATACGTTACACGCGAACGTTGAAATATCCGCGAACTGTTTTCATTTCTGTTGCTCCTTCTTGTATATGTTACCGGCAACGAATTAAAAACATGTATTATATTGAAAAAAATGATACACCCGACACGTACAAAAATGTGATCTGGTTCGTGCGAAATTCTGAATGGACAGTTGATCGATTCAACCGCACAAGAGCTTTCAAATAATGCATTTATCTGACAATACCATCGCAACTAATCGCTGCAGAAATTTCATTGCATTCAATCCAACATGAAACAAATTCCATCGAACGCTGTAACACGATTTTATTTTTAAATAATTGAATACCATCGGATCAAGTTACCTGAAATTTCTATTCCAAACGTGAAATACAAATTTCGTTAACAAATAAAACCTCGATATTTCATTAAATTACTTACGGCCTGAATACGATTCAATTTTATTTATATTTCCGAACGAGTGGAACAAATAAGCTTATTGTATCTTTTGTAACCATTTGAAAATTGTATTTATTGCAAATTAACAATGACAAAATAATTATTTTCCAAAAAAGGAGAAGAAAATTGAATAATGCTTTCTTTTATCGGAGAATCTTAAACAACGATCATCTGGCATTAATTTAATCGCGAAACAAGTGCGGTATAAAGCGTGTCACTCGAACATCTCATTAAAACGTCGCGACAATGAAATTACCTGATGAATGCGATGTAAATTGCCGTTGGTAAGCGCGTGCGTGTAAACGAGCAGGTATTTCACGCGGTTGCACAGCAACTAGCGAAACCTATTCGTTGCCTATTACAAAATTAATGAATTGCTTCGCCGTTCGAACATGTATTTTACGCCCTGTTAATTACAAACTATGAACTGACTGATTTGAAACTTTAGAAATTTTAAAAATTAATTGCAAACCGACCCATTATTCCTTACTTTACAACTAGAAATTCCAAGCTTATGCGACTCGCGGTATGAAAGAAATACGCAAAAGCCTTTTCATGATAAGGAAGACTGAAAATTGCATTTTTATGTCGCCGTTGTTGTCCTATCCGATTGGATACGTCGAGGATGAAAAATGCGCGAAAGTGCCCTCGGTAAAATAACATTGGATGCATACGTGATACGCATAATACAGAAAGCGTGCCATCCGTTATTGTTTTTGTATGATACTTCCTCGTATAGGATCAGCTGAAACGGATTTTATAGAAATTCTCACTTTGTACACTTCTGTCGCCGGAATTTTCTTCCTATTTTGTTATATACCAGCATCTTGTATTACTGGTTAAAGAAATTTTGTAATGTCTTATACAAAAAATATTTAATCGTGACATTAATTTCACGAAAATCACCGTGAAACCGATTGTAAATAAATCAATTGTAGTAAACGTGAAATTCGACCGTGTTCTGCAGATATTCATGGGTCAAAACATTTTAATGGCGTTAATTTAATTAGTCTAATTTAACGCGAGTTACTCATTGTGATTACCGGACCATGAATCTACCTTTGCGTGTTCAGTCATATAAATTATTACCAAAGTAGACAGGTATTAGGTACCCAAATTAAATAGTAATAATTAACTGAATTAATTAAGATCTAATACACACTGCTCTAAGGATCAACTAATTAGAGTTTCAAAGTCTTACTGTACAAGTTCATTTTCATTGCCTCAACAAATGTATTAAAGTAGGCACGTAAGAGAAGTGAGAAAAAGAGCAGACAGTTAATTAGGTTTCTCTGAAAACGCGCGGCTACATAATAACCGACCTTGCACGGCCGAAATTAGCCGCACGTCAACCGCAGAATGAATGCGGTTTTGTATGCATGCGATATTCAGTGAAACGGATGATAATTTTGCGCTACTTTCCAGTCCCAGTTTAATTATTAATTTCGACTATAAAATCCCTTAACACTCTTTAATTTTACACAGTATAAGCACACAATAAACGAATAACAATTCCACCCTTCAAAGTAAAAATTATAAATCTCTACCGTAAAGAGAATGATGAATTTGTTTGTCACGGGTCAACAAAATCAAGATATAACCTTAGAATCTAATTTCTGCACTTTGAGTTGTGGTTTGTATACCGTAATTTCTTCTGCAATTGCAATGGTAATCAACACGATACCGTACAACATGCGATAAAAAAAATGTACCCCTTTGCCAGGTGTAATAGGATCAAATTAAAGTACACAAGGATTTATCTTCCGATACATATTGAACGAGATTAAAACGTGGTGGTAATCTTTCTTTATTTCCTTTTTTCTTATTCCACGTTCGTACGAAGAAAATTTATGTAGATTCGATAACTGGAAATTAATAAACTTCCATAAACACTGATGTTGAAAATGTATCTAATAATAATAATAATAAGAGATAAAAACATAAAGGAAAGAAGAGAATCTTAAAATTTCAAATTTCACGAGTCTGATAAATATTCACCGAGACAGGTCTCGAGGGGTATCTACCCTTGTTTTAACAACCCCTACAGCTTTCATCTTTCATCTGTTTTCCTTCGCCACGAAATATGTAATATTTAAACGTGGGTGATAATACAAAAGTGGCTGTTGAGTTTCATTCTCGCGTAGAGTTAAACGCGAAGCTAAATATAAAAAAGTAATATTAAAGTATGAATCAAATTTTAGAAGAAAATACATAACTAGAGGGCCATGTCGCTAATAATGAAATAGACTGTAATAAACAGAGGTCAAGGTGTACTCCACAGCGTCGACATGACTTGTAATTTATCGCAACTCGTCACGTGCTTTGCTACTACGAAACAATAGACAGGTATACGGCCAACAAGCACCATTGACCTAGATATTGGTTCAGCATTGACTTATGCACGCCCTTCCTTTTTCTATTTCACGAACGTCTACTCACTGGAAGCGTATTTTCTCGTTAGAACTCGGCATTCTTTCTCATTTTCCATTTTTCGCATTAAGGACAATAATAGGGTTTCAAATTGCTACATGAGAATTCATTTCTACCCAACCTATTGTTTCGTTTTGATTTCCCTGTTCTAACGAGATGGAAATACTGTGTCGTTATCCTTGTTAATAAAAATGCAACAGTATGCAAATCGTACAAGCGTGCGAATATTTTCTAAATTTAATTTGATTTTTTAATTTCGTCGATTGTCAATTGGAGGAAACAATTTGATTTCCGTTCTTTCAATAAAACAAAAAAGTGGTAAATCAACCCCAGATACACATAAATAAAGGGGGAAATTCGACAGAGGAAACTTGATTAACCTTTTGTCAACCTATTGTCACTGAATTTTTTATCAGTATCAATCCCTTAAGAATCGATGGATACCAATCTCAATTTCAAATCAATACATATCGATTACCAATGAAGATTTGGGACTACAATAAATGTAACAGGAACCTTGATAGATTCCAAGGAACATTTTAAGAAAGACTGCATTTTAAATAACATCACCGACAAATGCATACAATGTTTCTATCAGCGACTAAAGCAGAAAATGACTTCTTAAGAAGCACCATTTTGAATACATTTTTAGCCAACAACTGTGGATGCATTAACTCGTAATGATACTACGATTTCTAAGAATGAAGTTCAGAATGCATGTACATTTAAAGTATTCGTTAAGTGTTGCAGCCTCTAAGCTGAAAGATGAAAGCCATTAGATGCCGAAGATAAAATGACAAACCTTTACTGCTTTCAGCTTTTCCATTTTCAATTTTCCCAGGTATTTTTATCAAAAGGCAAATACCATTTCTGTTTTCTTGCCAGATGCATAATTTTCAACGCGGTTTTAGCCACCTGGTAATTCCATGGAAATTAAGTCGACGTTCTTTTGCAAAACTACGTTCGTTAAGAGTGCAACATTTTCGTGGATAGAAGAAAGAAGATTTCTTTACGCTTCCTTGCGTTTCCTCTTCTAATTAACGCCGCATTTCGTCGCCGAACACAAACGGGAAACGCTCTGAGTTCTCTCGTTTGTCGTTAAAATGTCGAAACGACGATTACGGCAAAAACCTTTTGACAAGTCACGTTTGTACAATAACAATGTTATTTCACATTAATATCTCGCGATTTCCTCGCAGCTTTCATAGGAACGAGTCGAACCTTGCATTCTCTTCGAGTCGGTTTTTTTCCTCACGTGATAATTCACGAAGATAGCCAGAAAAACAGAAAGAAAAGGAAAAGAACGGGAGCGAAATACTTCTACTTGAAAAATGTGAAATGATACGGACGGAATGGCGAACGACGAGAGTTGGCTCTAATAACTCCCTTGAATCCTTAACGATACCCTCGGATAATTTTTGTCTTTTCGCTCCTGGCATTGTCTGCCAGAATTTTACACTGAATTCCCAGGAAAATATAACTGTTGTATTTCATTATTCGTACCGTGTTTTTATCAGATTATTTCATAAAGAATGTCGCGTAAATGGTAAAATATTTTTTTATAAAAAATTGAAAATTGCTTTCAACCCTTAATTTTTCAAATTTTTTGTTCGACACGCCGTAAAAGTTTTCAGCGTAAACGGAAATCAATAACAGGGATCGCATGTCTGTTAGGAGGGGAATTAAAATATTTCCCTGGTTGATTTGCGATTCAAAATCGACGAAGATAGGAGATTTTTATTAAAGGCTGTCCTTTTTCTCCTATCATCTCGTTTCGCGGAGAATCGAAGGCATCGCCCGAGGAACGAATTCCGATATAAAGGGCTCGATCGATTCTACATTCTTCGATTTCATCCTTTCTCTCTTCGCCGCTGTTCAGACTGCAATCCCTCCAAAGGGACTCGGGCTTCCCTTGATATCGCGTTTAAGCGCGTATTTTTCCATTAAAGGTTCCTCATTCTACTTACTGCTCGCGCCGTATTGTGTTCCCCGATGCGGAGACTTTCCTTTCTCTCTTTTATCTTCTTATTTCGAAGCTCACTTAACGCGAGCCTGATACAAAACCGACGAGAAAAGAAACGATAAAGGGACGATGCGAGCTGCAATTATATTTCGAATTCGAATCGCGTTAATGTATTTTGAAAAAAACGAATTCTTTTTATTACAGGCATTCGAAGAGCTCGAGGAATTATTAGGAAAACACGATATATGCATCGCGATCAAGGAGAAACTCGTGAAAGACTCTGGCGTTGCTGAGGAAACTGCATACGATAACATCGTTCTGAAATTATTAACAAAACCTAGAGCACGAGGTGAGTATGTTTTGTAAGCTGATAGAATATTCTTTCATAACACAAACTTCAATGATTTTCTATGTAAAAAAGTATACCACCAGTTACGCAATTTCCATCGAGTTTGCACTGCAAAATGTACATTTTCGAGGATATTTGAAATATGTATGAAAAGAGTGAATAATAAAGAAAGTGCATGGAAGTGCAACTAAAAAATGCGAATATTAGATGTAGAAATTAATTAGGTGCATTTAATATGTCTTCGTGATTATTTTAAATTTAAATATTTTTCTGCATTCCTAAATGAAATTAACATGATTTTGTAAAATAAAATCGGGATTTGCTGTCTTTGTCCATCGAATCGGGGAATAAATTAGAGATTCGTTGGCAAACAGCCACGGGATCGTGAGATCCACTTGAAAATACCCCTTGCGCAATGAGTCGTCCATTGAGAATCTCACAACTTCGAGGATATAGATACCGATTTGCACTCTGCGATCGTACAATAGCCAGATGCTTGCAAATACCTCGTGAGATACGAAAAAATTGAAATATCGCAGACTTACATTCTGCCAAGTATTTAATTTAGAAATTTATACCTGTAGTATTATATACAAGATAAAAAGAAAGAAATTCTTCTTCGTGTATTAATGATATAATAAAATTGATATTTTTTTATTCCTATGTTGTATAAAAATCAGCACGAATAGGTGAAATCCTTCACCGCAATCAATGTATTGAACATTTTCATTGAAATATACGAACGCAGGATTTCACGAGATATACCACCGAAAAGAATTTTTGTATGACACTGAAATGCAACGCGATTGAATGCAACTTCAATAGACAGTTGCCAGAAACATGTAAACACTTGTTACAGATTGATGAAACTTTCAAAAACTCTCGACCTCAAAATAAAAATATCAATATAAATTTCATCAGTCATAGAAATTGAATATTAATTTATGATCTCCAGATTTTATTTTCTCAAAAAGAAATATATAAATTTCTTATATTTTTTGCATCAGAGTTTTCCTTTTTTACCAAAGACTTTTTATCTGAATCGATATCCTGGTATGCCTGTTATCAGAACAGAAGAAAACCAAGGAGCGAATAGAGTCAGGGAGTGTAATATTTCATCGACCTACCTTCCAACTTCTTCTTTACTTTGAACGAAACTAGCACCTAGAGAATCACTGGTTCCCATTCTCAGCAATGAAGAATCCACTTGAGCAAGCAGAAACGTACGTTCTATGTTTTAAAAGTAAAACAGCGAGCCGATAAAAGCGATCGTCTTAGAAATTACTAGCTCCGCAAACTGGAAGAGAACGAGGTAAAAGAAAGATTAACCTTCTACCACTTTTATTTCATGGAGAAACTACTCTGAGTTGAACCCTAGAAAGACCATTAATCACTTCTTCATTTCCCTACTGTTTAAATACGGAACAGGAGTGACTTTGCATGGGACGACTAAATTAGTTCTTTAGACATTTTAGAATTCTAGAATTTTAGAATTTTAGAATTCTGAAACTTTAAAATTTTGCCATGATTTTATTGAACAGGGTGAAAAATTTCTAAGACCGACCCTGATACAATGTTGACACGAGCTAAACAAAGATTTTGCAATAGTCTTTGTTTCATAAAGAAAACTCCATTTTTATGTGTTCCTATAGAATTTATTAGACGTTAGACGGTTTACTTTTGTGTTCGATAAGAAGAGACCCTTTTCATGCAAATTGAACCGTGTTCTACTCTTATCCAACCATTTTTCTTCCGTATTCTCGACCGTACGTTCCATTTTATACGGTGCACCAGTCCTTGATGAAGTCCCGCGTAATCTAGCTTCCCACAGGAATATCCCAGCAACGAACAATGAGTCGTTTTACGAGTACTTCGTTGGTTGAAAAGGTCGAGACTTTAACTGGGTTTAGAACGAGAATGTCGAATCTTTATCGTAGATCTATGGAATTCCTTGTCCATCAGTCTTCATCAAAGACAACGAAAATGTTTCGAAGTGTATATATGTCAAAATAAAGAATTATTCTGATCGTTTATCACACCGAGCACCTTTTGGGAATACATGGAATTTTTAATAAAATTTTTCATCACAATTTCAAGCGAATAAGAAAATTCTTGGTTACATTAAACCTTCACCGTCCTTGAATTGCAGAGTCTCGATGAATTCATTTCTCCAGAAAAATTAATTAAGAGCTCTCGGTCTTTATGACTCGACAAGAGATAGTATTAAAGACGTCGAAAAGGAAGTGCACAACAATTGCATTAAATTAAATTCCATTCCTCTCTGTTCTCTCTGTGTACCTTCAGATTTCAGGCAACAATGAAGTTTCTTCTGCTGCCGGGTTTGACCCCTGGTATCATTTTAAAGCACTTCGGATGAGTAAGTTTGCGATTATCCATGAAGTAAATGGAACGGTACATCGCTTTGTGCTCGATGTAATTTTTCACCAGTCGGAAATTAGACGAAGAAAAGTAATCATTCGACTTAACAGGCTATTTCCTTGCTTGGAAAATGGAATGTTCCTCTGTAAAACGCGTCGAAAGTAAAGGAACTTCGTTTGAAGATTCCTCGTTAAGATGACTTTAACAGAATAATTTATCATTTTCTATATTTCTAAAAATTAATTTTATAATTATTCTTGAATTAAATTATTAGAATCACTAGTAGTCATAAACAGGTACCACGAGGCGACTGGAAATGAAACGAAAAGGAGAATCATCCCCGAAGCGTTCTACAATTTTCATTGTTTCTCTGTTCAGGATGTATCATATTCGGGTCGGATCAAGAAGTTGCCGGAGTTATGAGAGCGGTTAGACGTTGCAATGCAACCGGTGCGTTTTCGTGGATCGGTAGCGACGGATGGAGTGCCAGGGGGTTAGTTAGTAACGGCAACGAGGCGGAAGTGGAGGGTACACTATCGGTTCAACCCCAAGCCAATCCTGTCAAGGGTTTCGAAGAGTACTTTCTGAATCTGACCGTCGAGAACAACCGAAGGAATCCGTGGTTCGTTGGTAAGGGAAATGACTGTAACACGCGGGCATCTGTTCAACTTTGTTAATCCGAACTTCTGAAACCGCCAACTGTACGTTGCGAGGTCGGCTTATTGTTAAATTTCATTTGATTCCATTAATATCCAAAGTTCCATACATTTGTCATGAACGGTTTCAGAATTTTGGGAGGATCATTTCCAATGTAGATACCCGAACGCATCCAGAACTCCGTACAATCAAAAGTACACGAAACCGTGTACAACCAAGGAGCGTCTAACTAAACAGGATACTGCATTCGAGGATCAACTGCAGTTCGTTTCTGATGCAGTTATGGCGTTTGCGTATGCTTTCCGGTACGACATAGCGTCGCTATATGATTGTATTCGTAGTAACTAAATATTAACTTTCATTTCACTCTCAGAGACATGCATAGAGATCTTTGCCTCGGTAAACCGGGACTTTGCGACTCTATGAAACCAACCAAAGGCACGGAACTTTTAAAGTACCTTAGAAAAGTGGATTTCGAAGGTAAACTGATATTTCAAAATTTATCTACCTTCGTCGATTTTGAAAATATAACAATCAAATTTATTTAATTTAAATGAAAATTGCAAGGTCTAAGCGGAGACAAGTTCAAATTTGACAAGAACGGGGATGGGCCGGCCAGATACAATATAATACACTTCAAACAAGTTCAACCCGGCAAGTATAAGTGGATACGAGTCGGTAAATATCTGGAGGGTGAATTACGGTTGAATATGTCCGGTAAGAGGGTTTTACACTAAACCGAGCGTTTTTCGTAAAATTGGATGTCACCTACTCGCATATTCCTAGCAGATATCCAATTTAAACTTGGACATCCTCAGCCGCCCGAAAGTGTATGCTCTCTGCCCTGCGAAGTCGGCCAAGCAAAGAAATACGTTGAAGGCGAGAGATGCTGTTGGCACTGCTTCAACTGTACTCAATATCAGGTTTGTGATCGCGTTCGAATAGCGATCGTTCGATCGGTTCCGGTTGGAAAATATTTTTCGCCAGGCAAATCCATCGCCAGAAAATCGACCTTTTCTTTTCTCTTTCTCTATTTTATTACGAGCAATTCGATAATATTTTATGGTACAACACGAGGGCTCGATATTAAATTGCCGTAGAAATATTGATCTTTATTGGACGAACACGCGGTAGAAAGTCGAGCTTCCGATTTCGAAACGAAATTATCACTTCGTGACAATTTTGTTAAAATAATTCTAAAAAGAACAACCGAACGAAATTGGATTTCACGTTTATTTATTTTTAATTCAAGAATTCGTAAGTCGAAGATTCTGCAATTTCTATGTACTGTATCTTTAAATCAATATTCTTTTATAGACAGATCGCGTGAGACGAGTGTTTGAACACAGTAAACATCATTTAAATAGAATCACGATATTTCTTCTGTATAATAAAATAATCAATTTTTCATTTCTTTTGTTGTTTTCACAAAGGGTTGGTTTTCAGAAAATATGAAATGAATTTTTTCTTTAAATATTCTTCCTTTATAAACCCAACACCTGAAGCAATTTTTTTGTGAATTTTGAACGTGTTTCATACAGATACGACATCCGAAAGACGAGACTCAATGCATTCCCTGTCGTCAAGGCACCGTACCAGATGAAACTCATTCTACTTGCCGTGATATCCCTGAAGAATTTCTACGACCAGAAAGCGGTTGGGCAATAGGAGCAATGTCCTTTTCTGCAGTAGGAATCATGGTAAATATCTCTCTTTTCAGGAAATGAAATTAAAGAGAAACATCTCTTATTGCAACGCTTACATTGTTACGCAAGAGAAAGAAATGTATTTTGAAATTGTTAACAGCGTAATTTAACAGAAGGTATCCAATACACCTCGGTTTTTCTGAAAATAGACATATTGTAACGTGTAATGAGTACTCGCGATGAAACGATTACACTTTAACTACATAATGATCCCGTAATAATTTCGACCGTGAAACATAAAATCACCCCCGACGAGGGACGAAATTGCTTGCCGCTGCCACAAAAAGCAACTGCATTATCGATCTGAACGTTTCGCTGCTAAGATAGCTCGTAAAAACTCGAAAGAACATTCTGTTCCTTTTCAACTATTCGGAGTTCTTTAATAAAAGAAGAAAAGTCAATCAAATATCCGAACGATCCTAATCTATATTTTAAAAATATTTTAAACACAGATAACTATGTTCGTCGGCGGAGTGTTCCTGAAGCACAACGACACCCCGGTGGTCCGTGCATCCGGTCGCGAATTGTCCTACGTCCTGTTGTCCGGAATTCTGTTCTGTTATCTGGTTACGTTTGCCCTTGTCCTGAGACCTACGGACATCGTTTGCTGTATTCAAAGGTAAGAGATGAAAGGCACGCAACACGGTGTACTCCCTATTTTTCTTCGGAGAGTTGCACACAGCGGTGGAGGGTTCGCCAGGAAAATCCAATTTCCCCGCGAAACGAGACGACCCCGACTGTGAGGATATTAAGTGGTAACACAGTGCATGATCGATCGACGCAAAGCTGATAAAGTCGGGGACGAAATTTCATCGGGAAGTGAATTACGGACGATTCAATTACAGGGAATCAAAAGAAGAATATAAAGCGGAACGACGAATCCATTAGACGTAACGTTGCACCTGCTTCCCATCTCTTAAACGTCCCCCAACTGTGTATCACTATTTTCTGTTAAGGCTGATTCGAAATGAATCATAAATTCCTGATGAGTACGAAGGAATTGAAAATTACAGATCCAAGGATTATTAATAAAAAGTAATTTTCTTTTTCTTCAAATTTTTGTAACAGATTTGCTGCAGGTTTCTGTTTCACCGTCGTCTACGCTGCTCTTTTAACGAAGACAAATCGAATATCAAGAATCTTTAACGCGAGCAAGCACAGCGCAAAGAGACCATCTTTCATATCACCGAGGTCGCAATTGATCATTTGCTCGGGATTAGTGTTCGTCCAGATCCTAATTAACGGGGTGTGGATGATTATTGACCCGGCTAGAGCGATGCACCATTACCCTACCAGAGAAGACAATTTGCTGGTCTGCAACAGCTACGTGGATGCCAGTTACATGATCGCCTTTGCATATCCGATCATGTTGATCGTTGTATGCACAGTATACGCAGTGCTTACGAGAAAAATCCCCGAGGCATTCAACGAGAGCAAACATATCGGTGAGCAAAACTTTTGTCGAAATTTTCGAAGGTTTCTATTATGCTGAAGGCATTTCGATTTTGAACTAAACGTACTTGAAGTACGAGGAAGCATGTAATATTTTTCCATAGAGAAGGATTTTATCAGTAAAGTATAAAATTTCATAACTTGCTTTTTGATAATAAATTATTCATTTTTGTCTAGGTTTCACAATGTACACCACGTGTGTCATATGGCTAGCTTTCGTGCCACTGTATTTCGGTACAGGAAACAACGTTGCTCTAAGAATCACCTCAATGTCAGTAACTATAAGTCTCTCAGCCTCGGTTACTATAGCATGTCTCTTCAGTCCAAAGGTAATTTCCTCAATGAAAATTTCTAACAAGGGAAAAATTGAATTTCTAATTTTTCTTTATTTTTTTGTCAATAGTTATACATCATTTTAATTCGACCAGAGAGGAACGTACGACAAAGTATGATGCCAGCCAGATATAGCACCACGAAAAGTTCAGCTGTTACTGCTACCAATGCTTCCAGTATGATAGCACCGATAACTTTAACAGCAGCTACGTGTGATCAAAATAAAGCTGTTAAGAAGCATATTATCACTACCATTGATTGTTCGACTCAAAGTGAATGTAAGTGACCTAATGCAAATGATTTAATCCTAGAACCAATAAATTCTAAAATTCTAAAACTCCAAAATTGTTGACACTGTTATACAAATTCTAGTTACACCAATAATCCTATTCAGTACGCTTTTTAATTGAACTTAATTAACCAGCGTGTTTCTCACGAATTTTAATTAAACGCCCGACAAAAACTGACAATTTGACGTTTCTAATCTACGAAGAGGTGCTGCAGGCAAACATCTGTTTGAAACATTTTCTTGACGAAGTTAATGCCGCACAAAAATGTATAAAGCCTTTGCACCTATTCTCATCAAACAGGAAATTCTATTTTCTAATTAACCCTTCCGAATAGCAAAGCGTTTCTGTTTCACAGACTACGAGCTGGAAGTGAAAGATCAGAAGAACGGAAAGCCACCACCAACGGTAGTCTCACGCTCGACCCAAACTTCCGGTAACAACGAAGAGTCGAGTGCGATCGTCTCGAGCAAAGATTCGAACGAAAACACCGCCACAACGAAACAATTAAACAACAACGCGAGAATAGAAAACGGACCAGTAAATCAGAGCGATGTTCCCTTATAGCAGATAGCCACAGTGGAAGCAGACATGTTGTCCGCGAATCTGAAGCCAATTTCGAAGAAGCCCGTAATAGTTTGAAGAGAATATCTGAATAATATTTTGTAAATACGACTGAACATACTTCGAGCTGAATATCATGCTGTACGTTGATATTTAACCCCTTCGACCCGAAGTCATTACAATAGAAAAATTTTCGTACTCTGGGTAAATGTTGATTTATATAATTATTTTGAAATTTTGAAATTTATGACATGACTAAAATTGGAAAAAAACATGATTCAACCTTATATCTTGAAAATTATAACGATTGATATGCAACGAAATATTACTGTTGGGTTAGAAGGGTAAGACTCCAAGTTGATTAAAAATTGTGTAAATTGTGCTATCAAGCGTCGAAATAATTTTGTCTTGTCTAGACGAGAAAAATGATTTCGAAAATTGTTATCACACGAGACCATAAAGATGCTAGATACGCGATATTACACATTGTGCGTGATAGTAATCACCGATTGCAATTAATTGTTAAGTCGCGTTTGAAATACTGCTCTGGTTTCTTCTGTGATCATAGCATAATTCGTATAATAATCACGAGAAATTGCATAAATCTCTTTTGTACATACACCATGATACAGTGTTTCATCATCTGTGCACACGAACGCGAACCGTTAACTAATTGTAAATACTGATTAGTCGGATTCGTTATTATGTAAAGAAAAAAAAAAGGAATTTCTGTAGCCAGATCGTTGCCAAATGTAAGAATTTGCGTCCAAACGAGACGATCTTCTACCAATGATCAGAATTTTTGTAAAAAAGAAAAAATCAATAGTTAATCATTTATCTGTACATAAATTTCATTGTGTAAATATTACAAGAACGTTAAGAATTAATGCACGTTCGAAGCTATTTACAATTCGCTTAAAATCTTGTCAACGTTTCAATGTACGAACGTTGGTCTTTAGATACCTTTTCTCTTTTTTTCGAATCTCCTCTGCAGACTATAGGAATTGCTACAAGTAGAATTGAAACGCGATAATCGCGTTTTCTCGTACGATCTAGTCATTCAAATTTTATTATAACGTGAACGACTTTGTACGAAATAAAAACGACGAAATCATTCTGTATGATCTGAGGTATAACCGGAGGAAGTGATATAGCGTGGCTATAAATTAAACAATGTCTTATGTTAACCCCTTTTTTGGATAGATGATTTCATGGTTTCCTAGGACCATTATTTCGTTTGAATACCATTTTACAAAATTGCTATTACACTATATCTTTTCCTCTAACTATACATAATGTACGTATGTTAGGACTTGTACATTCGTTTCGTAGAATCGCAATACGCGATAAACATATCCACTCTGACACGTATACGTAGCCGATTTCTTGATAACAATAATAACAAGTTACCAATTACTTCGACTAATTCGTTGTTAACACTTTCGCTGCATTTCATGTCCGTAGCGAACCTGTTAAATAACGATTTCATAAAATAACAAATTTGTAAAATCATTTGAACTTTTATAGAACAAAGAATAATTGTTTCTGCTTAACTTTGGATACGTATGAGCCCAGTATCCATCGTTCGGCACGCTGAATAATTTATGTAACAAACAAAGTACATAATTTCATTTCGAAAGGAAACGAGTCCAAGTGTTTAAAATAAAAAAACATGTATTTGAACACGTTCGATTCGCGTGTAAATATCTGAAACTGTACATAATTAAATGATATCGTTTAAGGCATGATGTTAGTTCATACGGAACCAATTTAGTAAATAATTCTACGAAAGATTAAGACTTCGAAATGCAACGCGACATACCGAGACAGTGTAATGGCAACATTAAAACTAATTAACGCGAACCGTTATGATCTAAGCATATTTTAAATACGTACGAATGCTAAGTTAGAAAGACACCTGTTTACGATGTATCCGTTAAAGTGAACGAAAGAAATTAAACTAAAAAGAAAAAAAAAAAACGAAGAAAAATCAAGTAAAAATAAAATCAATCGTGAAATTATTCCTTCGTGTGTTATTTCTATCCAAACTTAAAAAATAGATTACTTACGACTCTTAAATAAAAGTTAAATACTTATTCTTAAATTTGGAGCAAAAATGTTGAAACACCTTTGCTTAAATATCGTCACTGTCACGTTCGGACGGGGGTGACAACTGCAACACTAGATACACTGACTTGCTAGAGGTAGATCCAACCCCATTTCAAAACTTGTTCGCCTGCTAGGTGCATCTGACAATAAGCGTGTGATGTTTGTAAAATCGTGTTTTATTTCTCAAAAAGTACAAAAAAAGCTTTACAGAGAAGAAACGATGCGCTGTTGTAGACAGACAGATAGACAGACAGACACAGACAGATAGATAGAATCCGCTCAAGTTGGTGATATGCCAGAAGGTTTCACCAAAAGCGGAACTTCTCAATTCGGCTCATCGTTCAGTTCGTGGTGCTTTACCGGATTAGTAGATCCTGAAAATCCCGATTAGGCGTATCATTTGTCACTGATCCCTCAATAAACATTGAATTACACTAAACACGAAAGATTAGATTAGAATTAATGAAGGAACAGCGTGTTCAATTAGCACTTACTTCTCAATGCAGAGTATCACTTTCTCAAGAAGAAAACAAAAAGAAAGAACAATCTTTTCTACCAATTATAAAATTAGATAAACAATCTACTTAAAACTTCTGCTATCCTACCAGTGAATATAAAATATCTACAAAGGAGAGGCTAGCCTAACACGATCTAAGTTATGATAACCCATAAGACGTAAAGGACAGGCGTTAAAGGGTGCAGAGAAATAGAAAAGCCTCGCTAAAATAAATTATCTTTTTATTCCATTAGCAATTACAACGCTTTGTAATTCGTCTGACATATTCTTGACCACTAAGCAACGTTACATTCACCTAAACGCATCATTACCTTTCCTTTAACAATCATCGATTCGACTAGTTACGCTTTCTTTCGTCTCATCGTCTTTAAGAGAGAAAAAAAGAAAGAAAAAAAACAATGAAAATTCGACCATACGATGTTAAATACAAACAATGAAAAAGGATTAATACTGAGACACGTGTAAACAATTTATCACACTGGATCCACCGTTTATTCACGGCAATGGATACAATAACAAATATTCAATTCACTGCAACAACTAATCAATCAGACTTATCTGTACAGGGTGTTTGAATGTAACAATAACCACTATTTTTTAGACACTTCTGGTAGATTGACAAAAAATGTTATAAACAAAAATTAGATGCAATTAATTTTTGTTTATAATACACTTTTGTTAAACTAATTAAAAGTGTTTCGAAAATCGTGGCAATCGTTACGATGAACATCCTGTGTGTGATCAACGAACCCGACTTCGATATCATTCACACCTTACAACGCAAAGTATAAAATCTTTGGTCTGACTAAAAGACTTTCGTACATGCTACGCTTACAAAATTCGGAAGCTTATTCATTATAAAAGTACTGTTTCTCTTGTAAGAAAAGTTTCGGTATCAGTGAATTCTCGATGTGAAGACAATCACAATATGTTTAACCACCATCGTAATACGGATTCTTCCACCTTTTTTTATATCTAACTACTTTGAACCGCTGATAATTAAATAATTAGACGGCATTCAAGTTGAACTTGAGCTCGTGTTTACAACGATTTATATCGTCAACTTGAATGTATTTTTCTTTTCGTAAGCTTAGCTAATATTAAAAGTGCAAATCTACTGTACGTTTGGATGTTCGTATATCGTTTAACAATAACGAACGGTAATTCTTTAGTATAAAAATCTTGAAATGAATGTATATCTCGTTTGATGAAATATTGAGCCTAATGGTAAAATACCGATTCGAAAGGACCGAATATTTATAGATTTTCATTTCTACGCTAATTGAATATTTTCATGCACTTGTTAACTTTTATTAGATTTTAAATACAATGTAATGAATAAATTCGTTCATATATTACCCTTTTCCCACCTTTTCCATTCTAACATACAACACAAGCAATGATTTGAAGAGAATTTAACAGAACATTCATGTAAACATATACTATCATTAAACAAACACAACAATGATTCATAATCCTATGAATGGTTACTTGTATTTACAGAACTCTCTTTGTTTAAATAAAAACTTAATCTCTTTAGAATTTGCATGATATTGCCAAACCATGGCAATGAACCTCCCTCTGTTCACAATAATGCTTCTTAATCGCGTGGACCATTATTTATCGCAGTTTACATTAATTTAGGATTGCAAGGTTCTTAAAAATTGTTGAATGCAAAATTACAAGTAAGGTACTACAATCCTGTCATCGATGAGATACATTTTCATGTGATAAAATATTACTGTACTTATGTCTTCCAGAACTTACCACTGCCTTTAATACCTTTGACCTTTTGTTGCTTCTTCTTTGGATCTGGTGGAACTGATAGTGCTTCTCTACCAGATTCACTTCCTCCTGCTCCTGAATTACCACCTGCCATATCAGCCTCCTGCACACCACCACCTCCAGCTTGTGCAGCAAGAGACTTTTTTATGTTGGCAATCTAAAAGAAAATTAAAAATTTTAGCATATATCCTTTTCTTTCAATATTGCTAGAAATAAAAATACTTACATCTCTTTGTACTGTTTCCTTATGATAAATAGCTGCCTGCTTCTCAACATTGGCTATTGTAACTTGTTCTTCAATACACGCTAACACAGAACCACAAGCTTGACCCCAAGCAGCTAATGTTTCAGCTACCACACCGGTATCACCAGGTCTAACATCACGACCCAACCCAGCATAATCTACCTCTAACTGTGAATTCTTTTGATCTAATTTGCCATGTATTATATCAGCATAGATGGCTTCAATTATTAAATCCTCTAAATCTCTAACATTTTTTATATCCAACTCCTCCAATAAGGTAGAGTATGGTATACATCTAGACTTTGTGGCTAATGTTACAATTGTTAGGTGTTGAAGCTTTTTCTTTTGAACCGAAGTTAATTCTAGAACCTTGTCCTTATTTTCTAAATACTCTTTGTACGTGCCATAGGCAAATAAATTTAGAGTATTCCAATATTGAACATAAGGTCCACTTTCTAACTCTTTGATATTGGGCATATCTAATAATTCCCCAAAGACATGAACACCTGGTGTTTCTACAGCTTGTCTTATAAGTTCTATCGCAGCTGCACCTTTAGCAGTTTTTGCAAGCAGTACAAACTGCTCTAAAGGATTATTAGCTGATTTTTCTGTGGTAGTACCAGTCATATTGTACCTGTTGAAGGAAACAAATCAACGAATGCAACCTACGATACCATTACAGTTTATCTGAATTCAAAAAGAACTTTGATAATTGTGTAATAGGTTAGGAAACACATATTCGGTAGACTCTTTACTGGAGGATTATTACAAATGAAAGATGAAATATCTAATGAATTGAAATTGAAATATATGTTCGTTACGTAAGTGCCACTTACTCTATTCGATATTTACAAATACCAAACAAATTTTTCTACTGAATATGCCTTCAAATGCGAGCAATTATCTGTGATCGCGCAAGTTCTACCACGAGAAAGAAACAAAACCACTGCTGCTTTGCAAAGAAGGCGAACACAATAGAGAGTCACGTTAATGTATCATACAAAAGGATTATTAAAAGAGAACGTTTCATGAAATACGTTCGCCAGGATTCAAGATACGGCTGTTCGTGGATATTACGTTCATTCAATATTAATATAACGGTTGCCAGTACTGGCAAACATTACCGAGACGAGAATAACTTCAACGTATTGTATCTGTTTGACAGAAGAGAGGGGAATGTGTTATTCTCCGCGAATGCGAACGGTTTATGTTAATAGTGTGTCTAAATGATCGTGCCGTTTGATGGGAAATAGTGAACGGAAAAATTTCAAGATTGCAGTTCGTCGGACGATACTGCGCTTGAAAATCACCGGTAACAGATAGTACAAAATGAAGCCTTTAATCGAATTCGAGGAATGTTTAAGAGACACGCCAAAATTTCGGTGAGAAAACGGTTCAACTTTCTGTTCTGACACTACTTGTTTAAGCTTTCGTGCACAACTCCGTTGCACGATGCATAGAACGATGAATAAGCTGTTCGATGCATATTGCACTAACATTAAATTGATCGTTGAAAAGAAATGGGTAAACTTAAAATCCTCGTTTCATTCTTCTAGATCCTGTATCGAGGAAGCAGAGGCAAACGTTGATTTACTCGAACAAAAATTAGACAAGGTATTGCTTTGTAAAAAAAAGAGTAAAAACATTTTCTGAATGCGTGATATTGCAGCAATATAAGATGGTTTTTGTTACATGCTATTATCCTTCAGCAAAAGAAATTAACTAAAAATATTGAAATACACGAATTTTGTTTATTAAATTTTTCTAATTTTCTGTGCTTTTAATTATATTACTCAATACTTTAATAATTGTATTCATAGTAAAAAAAAAAATTGGTAACATAATTTTTATATAATATATTAACAATATCATTTGCAGGTGTTAAAAAACTGTTGCCAAATGATTGACACTGGAAAGCTTTTTATAGGACAACAAAGGTATGTTGTAACATATACAATAGTTTATGTGTAATTTCTAGAACAATAGAACCTACTATGACAAGTTGGAGTTATGTCATAATTGAAGGAGAAATATAAATTTAAATGGAGCTATAAAAATGTAGTTTGATTGAATAATGTGCATATAATTGAAAAAACATTGATTAGTTTAAATGAATTGTGTTTAATAATAAAAAGGAAGAGGGAGATTCCAAGCAATATAGAAGAGTCAGGAAACACATGAATTACAGCTCTGTTGGGAATGACTCATTCATATGGTACTTAGCTTAATACAATGAAGAATGATACACTTGATACTTTTGCTGTTCAAAGATTATTCATTTTCCATTGATATTCTATATTATGTTTCAATAAAGAATGTTTTAAAAAAATAAGCAGTATTTTTGCATTTATTGTACTCACAAATGTATATAACAAATTATTACATAATACGTTTTTCTAATAAATATTCAATGTATGAAACACTCTTTTAGACATTGTGTGCTTAAAAAAATGATGTATAATTGTTTTTTTAGATAATATATAATTACATGAAAACTAAGCATTTAATTGTTTCTTATAGCCAATTTGCCAATAGTCTTTGGGAGTTATCTCTGTACTTCAATGATGATTCAGAGATAATGGCCTTACTGAACAAGTTAATCCATGCTTTGCAAGAAATGAACAAGTTTCATACTATTTTATTAGATCAAGCATCTAGAACTGTAATTAAAGATCTTAATTCTTTCATTAAAAGGTAAGACTATAACTTAAATTTATATTTCTAATATTTCATTTGAAAGTGTATGTCTACATATATGTAATACTGGCACTATTTTAACAGTGATATCAGGAGGGTGAAAGAATCTCGTCATTATTTCGAAAAAATATCTGCGGATCTAGATATAGCATTAAACAGAAATTCACAAGTTCCAAAGTCTAGACCTGCAGAATATGAAGAAACATCAAATATTTTATCAGCCACGCGATCATGTTTCCGACACACCGCTTTGGACTATATTCATTCATTGACAATGATACAGGCACGAAAACGGCACGAGATATTGGGTACTCTACTTAATTACATGAATGCATGTATTACTTATTACCATCAAGGCAGTGATCTCGCACAAGATTTGGATCCATTTCTAAAGGACCTTGGAGACAATTTGATTCAAATGAGGACTGACTCTGTTAAACTCGAAAAAGAAATGGAAAATCGGCATATTTACGTAACAAACAGAGACTTAATACCCTCTCCCATACCTGGCAATCCTCGGATGGAAGGGTATCTTTTTAAACGTACGAGTAACGCGTTTAAAACATGGAATAGAAGGTGGTTCTGTTTAAGAGACCACCAATTAGTATACAAAAAAAGAACTGGTGATAATGATTTTACAATTATGGAAGAAGATCTTCGTCTCTGCACTGTGAAACCAGTGGTTGACTGTGATAGAAGGAATTGTTTTGAAGTATTAAGTCCTACCAAGTAAGTAATCGATATGTAAATTCGATACCTTTACGTATTAATATAATTCAATTTACAGAAGTCACATATTACAAGCTGATAGCGAAGAAGCGTACTTAGCATGGGTAACTGCCATGCAGCAAGCAATTGGTGCTGCCATTCAAAGAGGCATGGGTGCTGGTACTATAATTAGTATACGAGATTCGCAATCACAGAGTAACAGAGGATCGAGTAGACCTTTGTCGAAACCTAAATCAAGAGTGTGGGAACAGATCTTAAAGATCCCTGGAAATGATAGTTGCTGTGATTGTGGCGGTGCTAATCCAAGGTGGGCCAGTATCAACCTTGGAATTACCCTTTGCATAGGTAAATTATTTTTCTCTGGAACCATAAATACTATCTTCAAGAAATTTCTTAAATTTCCCTTTTTTACAGAATGTTCTGGGGTGCACAGAAGCTTGGGTGTTCACTACAGCAAAGTTCGATCTCTCACCTTAGACGACTGGGAGCCAGAGATATTAAAAGTAATGGCAGAGCTCGGAAACACTGTAGTGAATAATGTTTACGAGGCTCTGCCGATTCCCTCGAATATTATTAGGGCTACACCGAAATGCAACGGGTAAGTATCGCCGCAAAGATCTTCGAAACGAGTAGAAACTTCGAAATCTAACAGAAATTCTTTCAAATTCACAGCAACATACGCGAAGCTTGGATAAGAGCAAAGTATGTAGACCGTAAATTCGTGAAGCCTTTGAGCAATATGATTTCCTGCGGTCAGCACGCGAGCCGTGACAAAATGCACTTTCGCAAATGGAGCGTGCGTAAGCTTCGTCGCCGGCCGCGAAGCTGCGACAAAATTGATAGTATTAATCGTAATAAAACGACACTATCTTCCGTGAAAGAAGGTCATCATTCGACAAGTTCGGATGAGAGCAAGCATACGTCAATCGAAAGTTTAAGTTCCGTTGATAAGGCGAAGAAAACTGAACGTAGTTCCTTAAGCTCGGATGATAGTACGAACCTAGATCTGAAAAATGATTCTACACTGTACGGGAAGATATTAGTACGACCAACGAGCGAATTGAATGATTCCAAAGTTACTGATAGCAATACAGAATCGAATACTGAAAACGAGCAAAAGATTCCCGAGATGCATGACAATACAATAGCCACGAGCGACTCGGAGAATAATCTGTCGATGAAAAGCGAAGTGTCCTTAAGCACAGAGATATCCGATACGAAAGAGACGTCCGAGAATAAAGACGTCGGAACGGAGAAGCAATGTACAGAAAAGATGGAGTTCGAGGTGCTGATGTTCGGATGCGATTTACCAAAGCCAACGATCGATAATAGCTTAGAATTAAGTTCGGATCAAGACTCGACTGCCGGCGAGGATGAAGAATTCACAGACGAGGAGGACATAGAAAATCTGCATCCCGAGATGCTACTTTATAAAGCGGCTGCAGCGCACAATCTCCCTGTGATGTGTGCTGCTTTAGCAGCAGGTGCTGATAAATTATGGACGAATGTTAACGATAGGGGACGTAATGCGCTGCACCAAGCCATTATAAGCGTAAGTAGAATCGAGGCTTTCTTTTCATTAATTTTTTCGAAATAATTTTATTTTCCTACAGGGTTCTGTGATGTCCTGTGAATATCTCATTCTTAATGGAGCGCGTATCAATTGTCAGGATGCCGATGGGAAGACACCATTATATTTGGCCACAGAATTAGGTATTCATAATAAATTCTTGGTTAAAGAACTTTCTATAGGCTCAATATTGTTCATTGAAATTACAGGCCATACTGCCCAAGTGTGTTTACTTTTAAAGCATCGCGCTGATCAGCATATTCATGACGAAAGTGGCGTAAAACCTTTGTCGATAGCCGTGAGGGAAGCCAACGCGGATATTGTTACATTGTAAGTAGTGAAATGGATATGGCTCTCCCTAGAAGGAGATCACCATATAAATACTGTAGAAAACCTTGTACAGTTTCGATATTAAAAATCCTATCGATATTTGTTTCAGATTGCGGCTCGGTCTCCTGAACGAAGAAATGAAGGATTCGGAGATCGGAATAAGCGGCGACGAGACTTTCAACGACGTGGTCCGCGATTTTAGCCAATTAGCATGCTCTCATCCGGAACGATTGCAACGACGAAATGAAAGTAACAACGCATCGCAACCGCCCGAATGAGGTTTAAGGGCGTGCAAGATTTATTTGCGAAATCTCCGGAGCAGACTACAACCGACAGAGAAGATGAGGAATGGTACATCGAAAATGTCTTTCAGTTCCTTGCAGGGTAATAGAGTTGATTACGAATAACCGGGTAAGTATGAAGTTTAAAGCTTTATCATTGAACGGAGATTGTTATTATGAAAGTTATGCATCTTTCTACGCTTTCATCTCTGCGTGAAGTTGAATTGAAATTTTATTAGCGTTTTGTATTTCTCTACTTAAAAAAATGAAAAATTCTAAGGAATTTATATTTTGCGATATGAAATTTTCGTATGCTTTCCTTCTGGTTTTCCTCTTTAACTTACAGAAAAGAAATAATTGAAAAAAAAAAAATATATATCTTTACATCGCGTGCTTTATACATTGCATAATGTAAATGTAACTTGGAATTTGTAAAACGTTTTGCAAACGCGCATAGCAAAGTATACATTTGTATTATCAAATATTTGTATATCGTTTATGTGATATTACAAACGTGACAAAGTAGTTTTTAACTCTGTTGTACGAGAAAGATTTTACCAATAGCCGACACGTTTTCGAGATAACAATGGTCTAGCAAGATGTCTTCGAAGCAACAATTTTATACATGTATCTGTTTTTATATACTTAATATTACCAGTAGTGTATATACAACTGGCACTAAGGTAACTTTCTTTGTTTCTTTAATTAAATGTAGTAGCCTGATGCTATGTAATTAGTATCAAACCGAACTAGGACATTATAGTTACATATAGTTATGTAGTTTATCTAGGGAAGTTATACGTATAAATAGTTGTAAATTACACCAACAGAAAAGAAAAAAAATCTGAAAAAAAAAAGAATATGATCGTAGTTCCGTATAATCTATACCACATTGATATGATTCGTGTAACGAATTTGTTGCCAAAAATTGAAACCGTTTGTACCTAAAGCATATACGTATATCGGGATAACTATTCGATGTTGATTCTTGAACAAATATTTTATTTTCAAGAATCGTTTAGAATTTAAAATACATAATTATACGAAGATCTTTGTGTATGTAGAATTCATTTTCTGAATGACAAATTCCATTTCTTTCTTCGCTGTGTTTTATGCATTTAACCGGACAATTTAGCATTCTTTTCGTGATTTATACAACGAACAAGTACACTGACTCACGAAAGTATTCAAAATCATGCAAGTGATTGATATATTACACAATTCGGATACTTTCGTGTACCTGTGTACATGGTACTCTTCACGAATACTTCAGTATCATGTTAACTACTTTAAACAGTATTTGTATAAAATATTATAGCATAATGCATGATTCTTTTTTAGTCTACTCGAGTAAAGACGTATTAATCATTGTTACAAATATTTTTCATTGTTTATGCGGTAGAGAGGCTTTACCGATAGCTGCGATTTAAGGTACAAAGTCGTATCGTATTGACCCTTCTAGGACGTTTATTTCAACGAGATTTATAACAGATTGCGGTATGATTTTCGAATTCCATATATTTTTTTATTCGATGTTACATGCCATAGTTTGTCCTTCGAATCTGGTATTCGATTCTCTTTTTTTTTTAATTAAGCAACATGACGATGACGTAAGCATAACTAGGTATAAAAATTAGATACTCATTGTTGATTAGCGACAAGATTCGTCTTCGATTTAACTTTTACTGTACGCGTTTAGTATGTTACTTTATACTTGAACAATTTATACAGGATATCTCATAGAACTGGGCAAAAATTTCATTAGAAAATCAAATGAAATATCGGGCGATATATGTGTTGGTACCGGAAGTGGAGGCATTTCAGAAATTTTAAGGTCAATTAATTGAAAAAATATTTTAGGTAGAAACAGGGCTATGGGACACCCTGTACATAGTGTAAAAAAGTAACTTTAGAATTAACTTGTTATTTTTGAAACTTCGTTTCTTCTCCTTACAAATATATTTGAAACTTTCAATCGAACGAGATATTGATGTCTAGTACTTCTATTTTGTACTTATATTTTTTTATATATGTTTTATACGTATGATTGACGAGAAAAATAAAGGAAGCTAGAAAACACACGCAGGTCTTCCAGAATGGAGCTTCGCTTATTCTAAGAACACGATGGTATCGTTTGAAATTTGCTTCTATGTAAAATGATCTTTTTCCAATTATTGTACGACGCGATGTTTTCTTCGTTGTTACGTTTTATCGATTCGTTTGAAAAATCATTGCCAGTTACTGCCTAACTGTGAAATGTTGTTGCAATAATTCCGTACACATAATGTATGTCTATAAACAAGTTGAACAAATAGTATGGTTTCACTGTTACGCGTGATTACAACAAAAATTGTAAACAATTTAACTAATGTATCATACTGTACACAAAGTTTACGTCATAAAACAGCGATTACGCAAATACGTGTGTGTTCTTTCAGTATCCCTTTTCCCTCAAATTTTTGTTACAGAGACACCTGAAAAAAGAAATACAGCAACCCTTTCCAATCTACAGATACGAAGGCAAAGGTTGCACGCAAAATATTTTGCGCAATAAAGTGTTTGTTATGAGGAAATAATTGATATACGACGCAATTAATGAAGTGTAGATCGATAAATCGCTTGTTATCTAACGAAACGGACATATATGCATCGTATACGCACAATTTACGCGTTGCTCTCCCGTTAGGTTGCGTAAATTAATCCAAAGGGTCAATACCCTATCGCTGTATAGTTATCGATATCTATGTATGAGTGTATAGAAATGTACAAACAAATTTACCATGAATTTGTCTATCTTTCCTATGAATGTTCCAATTTGCGTAAATAGCATTTGTTTATGTGATCAATTATTCTTTTTAATTTCAGCTCTAATACCAAGAGTTACAAAATTCTAATTTTCACAAGAATAAAATTTTTTCAATTTTAAGTTTACAAAATAATAAATTAATCCTTAGAGCTCCAGAATTCTAATTTTTGCAAGAATAAAATTTTTTTAATTCTAAATTTACAGAATAAGAAATTAGTTCTTAGGAAATAACTCTTCAAATAATAAACATTTGAAACCGAATCCTGCTACCCCTTTTGCTAATCGACCTTTTCCAACCCTAAGAGTACCAAGTGAATTATAGTCAAGTATTAATCATTGAATGGTGTCAAAAGAACGATTATTCGTCGTTACATTCACGTGTTTCAGACTTCACAGTGTGGTAATCTGTTGCCAATTAATCAGAATCCGTTTAAAACGTACAGAGGAAATTGTGGTCGTAGCACAGTAGCTTTCCGACAGATTGATTGGTTTGAAAGCGCGAAAAAGCTCGATGGATGCCGATCAGCAATCCTGGATTGGCTCGACGATGATAACAGTGATAAGGGCACACATGATTCTATTGGTCGAACGCATGCCTTCTCATTCACTGATAAAAACATTTGTTCGCCGCATATCTCTTTTGACGCCATTAATCTATTGCGTGCACGCATCTCTTTCATTCTACTGCATTTTCTTTGTTGTTGCAACATGCATTCACAATGCAGTTACTTGTTTTCGTAAACTGACACGTGCAATGTGAAACTTTCTGTTTGAAACGGAATGATTCATACCACTATGTAATAGTCCATCTTGTCTATTAATCAAGCCAATAATTAATCTCTTCATCTGAAGTAACAGAAATGGATTGCAATATTGAGGAATGCATCTAATTTTTGTATTTAGTAAAATTGGGAATTCAGAATTATTGATGATATCGTGAATTTTGTATAATGAAATAATTCGAAAAAGGCAAGGTATGTGAGGTACCAAATTGAAAAGATGCATTTGAAAATTAAATATTTCCAATGTTTGTATACAATTGGAATGCGTTCATTGAGAAGAAAAGGAGAGTGTTTATACGCGAATTCACGGTCCGTTTCTCGTTCACAGAGCTCGCTTATAGTGTTTGATTCCATCTATCTGCAACTATGGCGGCAGGCAGTCTACGATGCCTAGAACAGCTCCTATTTCGAACGATTACGACCTCGAGATTGCATGTGCCATTCGACGCGCAGACAGCTGCACTAATTCTACTGACGGATACGAACGGACAACGACTCCTCTACTAATATACACTTTGGAAAAAAATAATAAAAATAATATAGAGACTCGTACAAGGTTTAAATAATTGTTGAAAAAAAATATTTTCCACCGTCAGTTATTTAAAAATTCACTGACTAATAACCACTATTCTTTAATTTTTACCTTCCCTAATGCTTGTCCAGACCAAGTATAGTCTCAGGCTTGAAACAACGAATAATTACACGGTAAAAATCAACCCTAAAGCTTCGAATACGAGCAAAGTACTAAAAACATGTTCTCAGGGTACCCTTTGCATAGGCAATTATAGGAAACGAAGGAAATATCCGTAGGGTAAAGGAGAATACCAATTGATAATTGGCGCGGTGTGATTTGAGGTGTACTCGAGATTGAATGCTTTCGCAAAAACAGCCAATGGTCTCGTGGTGCAATTTATTTTTTACAACACCGAACGTATGCATGAATTATAGCTTTGATAAGACCGCGAGGCTTTTTCGACTTGACGTTGCCTCATAAATCAAGGCTGTTGAAAAATAAGAAATAAAAACTTTTAGCACGACCACTACGTGGGGATTGGCCCTGGACCACGAACGAGTTCCTCTTCCTTCCTTTTATTTTGATATAAATTTTGGCTTCCTAGCCATTCAAAACCGGTAATAAAAAGCGAAATGGCTCGTTCGTGCGTGAGAACCGAGATGGTTAATGTTAAACAATTCCTTTACGATTCTTTCGCTTAGTAGTTAACCGAGCAATAATTATTATAATAATTTAAAAAATTCAGCAGAAACGAGAACCGTTATGTTTCTATGAAAATCATCATCCCATCGCACTAATGATAAAGAGCTGGATGGTAGCAATCGAAGGGATCAATGATCGATCTATCCTAGCCCAAAGATGATCACGAGCGTTTCGACGAATAGTGAGGAGCAAAAAGATCGTCAAAGTGGGCGTCAAAATATATATGTATATTTATATACGTGGACACTTTGTGTTCTCGATATAACGCCAAGTGCGTAGATTCGTTGCCGAATGGACGGCTGCGTAGAAGATTAGAATGAACCGTGAAGTCCGACGTCTGGTCGATCGACGAAATTAGTACCTCTTACTCACCCTACTAATCACACACTGTCTCTATGCCTTGGCTTACGAAATTCTGGATTTCTCTACGAAGGAGAGCCTCGGATTTTAATGAAATTTGAAGGGAGGAGAAAAGAGTAATTGTAATTCTGAACAGAGATGCCTGGGTAATTAATTAAAAACTTATAAAGTAGAGTAGAGGATCCTAAATGGGCAGATTAAAATGCCGGCTGAGGAGCTCAGAAGCACCGGCGTGAAGGGTGTATGATATTTGGTAATTTGGAAATTTATAAATATAAAAATATAAAATTATTAAATTTTCTTTAAAAATATCAAGTTATTAAATTTTCTTTAAACGACCGTGTCGCTCCAGGGGCTCGGTAATGAGAAGCACATTTGAATCATCCCTTACGAGAGAGAGAGAGAGAGGTTGTGGGAGAAAACAAAAGTTGTTTCTCCTATATTGATGATTTTGGCCATCGAATGGGAAGATGAAAAGAAGCCGGTTGGGTGAATTGCAAAGGGGGACGACGTTCGATGTTTCCCCGTCTATAAATTCGATTCTCGTTAGAAGCGAGACGAAAGAGAAAAGCAAGGAGAAAGGGAAGAAGCGAACAGATTTACAACATCCAGAATCCCCAGACGCAACCGTCTTATGAAACTATTTTTAGGCGTTTTTAGGGCCTCTCGAATTTAGGCCAGGTTTCTCAGAAATCGGAGAAACGAACGTGCGACAATGATAACGATACACCCACGCTGATGACCGCGTTCGATCTACCTGTCATTAAAACCCTTTCACGTCCAATTAAATCAAATTCAATACCTATATGATATCATCGAAAAATTTTTTATAAAAATTCAGGAGATTGATTTGAAGAATGATTATATCTATGATAAGTAGGAGGATAAGTCAGGTGATAAATGATCACGATGAAATTCCCAGTCGAAGCTCGCGGTTCGCATGATAGCTAGCAAAGGCAGATTCGATCTAGCAATTTTGCGATGTCAAGCTGTTAACCTAAGAGCATTCCACGTGTGAACATCTGTTGCCAATCTGTTCGATGTCGACGGTACGTCACGGGTTAATACGAAGCCGTCCATCGTACAGTAAATCAATTTATTTGAAAGAAATTAGTCTAATATACAGCAGATGCATTTCACTATCTAAGGATCGCGATCGCGTGTGTTCATCTTGTTGTCGGGGTCGTTGCTCTTTCATTGAATTTTTATCATACCTTATAAGAGTTATGTACATCGTTGCTTGTGAAAAAAAGAAATTAATTTCAAAGAATAATAGATTTATTTAATTTCTAATTAATTTATCGAATTATCGACGCAGTAAACTGTCCCCTTTTAACGGTAAAATGCGTCTTCGATTCGCGTGGGTACACCTGTTGCGAGTCCAAGTTACATCATTTTCTTTCCGATATCGAAAAACGATATCCCAAGATTGATGGATCATCGCGCGCACCTGTTCTGTGGTTTCGCTCCAATTTCTAACTATCAATTGACATCTAATGCATTACTTTACTGCGCGTTTGTAACCGCAATTCGGTTGATCAGAAGCAACTACCGTGGGAAATCGTGGTAATACTTTCTAGAACGATTTATTGCGCGATAATGTTTGCAGGGTATCCGTTTACAATCGCGATTCTTTAACAAATGCAAATATAAATTTATAGATAAACGACGATGCATCGGTTGATTAGACCGACGTTATTTCACAGCGATTTTAATCCTTGACACGAAGAAATAAAATCAAATTGCGTCACCAGGGTTCAGTGAACTTGGGGAGATAATGAAATTCGCAAAATCATCAATTATAATTCCATCGGCGTTAACGTGACGCGATAACAATGCTTATGTACAAGCAAATAGGTCAATTCTTGCGATGAACCGACGATTTCTGACCTAGACAATGTATCAAGAATATTCTGCATCACCGACGCAAAATTAGATTACTTCAAGCGAAGTCAATAACAAACTGTGCATGACACAATTGTTGCCATTCATAATTATGGCAATGGTACGTATCCTCTATGCATGTACGCCGTTGCAAGAGTGCAACGAATTCGAGGAAAAAAATCTGACAAGCCTTGGTGTAACTAGCGAGAAAAATAAAATGATAATACGATATTATTGGTAGCCTATTGATGGCGAACAATTGATTGGGTCATCATGACGTTTTCGGCTTCTTATGCGCAACTACGCGTCCGATTCTATCATGTATCATCCAATGTGATAAACAAATTCCTCGCTCGTTCAGGCGATTGACGTT